GAGATGAAAGGAAAAATAGGAAGGATCATGAAATGTTTCCAGATCAGCATTCAAACAGCACAACATATAGGTGCACACTTTGAGTGCATTAAACGCACAAAATACATATGGAGATGGATGGATGAATGGATATAGAAGATGCTGGGTGGTACATATTCACCCTGATGAAATTGAAACTACAAGTGGATGATTTTGAATGAATTTGTACAATGTAAATTGCACAAAAATTCTATTTTTTAAAGGAAAAAGGTCGAAGTCCAGCTCCGAACAAATGAGATTATATTCACATAATCATCCAAAATTAAATATAGCTAAGTGACTGCTTGAACATTTTACATAGATTTATAAATATTCCAATCCAACTACAATCATTTGTCAGACTGTGTTCTGTCTCCTAAAGTAATCCAAAAACCGACCAGTTGAGACACTCTGGGCAGTAATAGCGCCCCCTTTCTGCAGAAAACAGGAAGACAAGACTGAACAGGACACGTTCTAAAATGCTGGGTTGTTTTATCCCAACGTTAAATAAAATATAGACAAACTCAGTCGTTGGGTGAAAATGTAAAATTTATAACAAGCTGGGTTTGTCCATATCAACTTTCACTTCTTCTCAATGCTCTTTCTAAACCAGAGATGCTCAAGCCTGGGGGCCATCCTAACCTTTTGATTTGGCCCACAATCCAATTTAAAAAGAGAGGGACAATGGGGAGGTGGTTAAAGTGAATATCTTGACCGTCATTTTGAATTTTAGGCAACCTTGTGTTTGTTTTTGTCATTTGTATAGTTTTGTAAATGAAAAAAAATGTAAAAAACTGTCACTGAACTGGAAAGAGGGCAATGCACAAAACACCGGCAAGCAAAACAAGGCAAACGCAATTGCAGCTTAGTGCATTAAGCCTTGAAGTCCATTGTGTAATTAATTGAATTGTTTATGTTTTTACTGTAATAAGTTCATTCATTCATTTATTTTCTTTTCTGCTTAGTCCCTTTATTATGCTGGGGTCGCCACAACTTATCCAGCATGTTTTACGCAGCGGATGCCCTTCCAGCAGCAACCCATCACTGGGAAACATCCATACCTACTCATACACAGACATTTTAGCCTACCCAATTTACCTGTACCACATGTCTTTGGACTATGGGGGAAACCGGAACACCCAAAGGAAACCAGTGCGAACAGGGGGAGAACATGCAACTCCACACAGAAATGCCAACTGACCCAGCTGAGACTTCCAGTGACCTTCTTGCTGTGGGGCAAACGTGCTACCCACTTTGCCACCGTGCAGCCCACTGTAATAAGTTAATCATAGTATTTTTTTATATACTGTATTAGTTTTGTAGTTCTTTTTAAATATTAGAAAATAAATTAGGAGATTACTCAAGGAAATATTGATGGAATACAGTTTTGGTATATTTACCTTCGGCCCACAGCCCTCAATAAAGTTTGGCTTTTGGCCCGTCATAAGAAAAGTTTTGGGCACCCCTGGTCTAAACGATACAGCTGACAAATAGTAATGTAAAGTGTTTTTATATAGCGCCACACCACCACCAGTGTGCAACATCCACTTGGATGATGCGACGGCAACCACAGGACAACGGCGCCAGTGCGCTTATCACACATTATAGCTATTGGCGGTGTGGAGAGATGTAATAGAACCAATTCAGAGGATGAGGATGATTGGGAGGCCATGATCTGTAAGGGCGGATGGAGGGAATTTGGCCAGGACACCAGGATTACACCCTATACTCTTTACGAGAAGTGCCATGGGATTTTAAATTACCACAGGCAGTAAGGACCTCCATTTAACATCTTATCCGAAAGATGGTAAATGGAGTAAATTTCTTCACTGTAGGGCAATACATATATCTGAAAGGTAGTGAGAATAGACTTACAGTGAAAACGGCTCTCTGAATCCATATTAATATTATTTTTTTTATCTTATTTACACAAAGTTTCTGTCAAACCGTTTTTCCATCTGTGTGTCTGCACACGTGTATTTCAGTCATCATGACTTTATCAGTCCAGCAGGTCAGAAGTGTGCAAGGGACTAAATGTGGCTCCTCAGTGGAAGGAATGCATCAGAGATAAGGATGGACGGATTGGCTGTGGACAAACTGATGCTGCTAACAAGCCTTCACAGAGGAGTAGGTGATGAGTCATTTCTGTTGCCTGGCAACCCTTTACAGAGGTGCTGGCTTTTCCAGTTATCTCTGTCAGACAGCGTTCAGCATACCTAGAGAGAGGCTGAGGATAAAAGACACCCCACAGCAAATGCCCAGAGATGTTTAATGCCTCGCTATATTGAATTAAATCAATGCAAACACCTGCAGAATTATGACAGATCAATAATATTCAACTTTAGGAATTGTATTTACATTACATTGAAATCAAATAGCATGTTGGCACAAGCATTTTTTAACTGCACTACTGCAGTAATATTTAAAGAATAAATACGACATTAGGCTACAATGGAGGGAGTGAAAAGTAGCAAAAAAAAAGATATTCCAGGTTATTTTAACTGTACACTTTAATTAGTTGTTTATTATTATTTTTTATTATAGTCATAGTCTCTTTACATGATAATTAAATTACAATTAAAACTTTTCCTGAATCCTTTATTTCATGTTCAAGGTCAGCTCTTCATTACTTTAACACAACTGTATTAGTAAAGGCATCAAAAACTGCAAGAACTACACAAAAAAAACTTTAGAAAATCAGAAACTTTGTATAGCAGAAATCTGTGAGTATTGGTAAATTTAGCACTTTTTGCACAACACTTTTTTTTCTCCTAATAATTTATGGCACATCAAACATCTGATTTTGGAATGATCTTGTTAAAAATAGTTTGGATAGATGGTTGCAAAGGGACATCTTTAATTTTGTAAGAGTTTTATTAAAAAAAGAGAAATCTCTTTTAAGATGTATTTGCCCTGCAGGTTCCCTTTCCATTTCTCACGAGAAAATTAAATTAATTAATCAGTTGAACTTTAACTTTATTTGGAAGAGAAAAGTTTGTTATGTTAAAATAAAGAACAATAGTGAAGGATTAGAACATAAATTTTGAATGGTATGTTTAAGGTTAAATGGTTAAAGATATAATAGTTTATCCCAAAGTATATTTTCAAGAGTGTAAGTGGAAGAGATCTTTTATTACACTTTTTTTTTCAATACCAAAACTTCCTCTCAGATTATCAGAATTTCATAAGCAGGTTATTTTATACTGGAAATTTATTTACAAACATAATTCTTCCCCACATAATTTACCAATTTAGAACAATAGTATATTTTATTTAAAAACAAATCTTTTTTTAAATAAAGACGGGTGGGAGAGAGGTATTTGGTTGGTTGTTCATCTATTAGACAAAGAGGGTGAGGTTCTGAGTCACAGAATTTTTGTGACAAATATAATTTTGAATGTGGACATAAGCAATACAATAAACCTATCCCGAAGGCATTTCTAATGAAGGTTAGCAATGTGGTTACCAATATAAATGAAACACTTCATCTGCCTTATTTGTTGATAAAGGAACAAGATTTTATTGAGTGTAAAATGGCTAATAAAATAATAACCCTGCTAAAAAATCCAGCTTCAACCATCCTAGGCTGGTTGGCTGGTTTTAGCTGGTTGACCAGGCTGGTTTTAGAGGGGTTTTGGCAATTTCCAGGCTGGTTTTCAGCCATTTCCAGCCTGGTCTTAGCTGGTCAGGCTGGAAAATGACCAGCCAAATCCAGCTAAAACCAGCTTGACCAGCCTGGTTTAAGCTGGATATAGCTGGTTCTGGCTGGACTCCCTGCTTGGCTAGGCTGGTCAAGCAGGTTTTAGCTGGTCATGTCCCAGCCTGACCAGCTAAGACCAGGCTGGAAATGGCTGGAAACCAGCCTTGAAGTGGCCAAAACCCCTCTAAAACCAGCCTGGTCGACCAGCTAAAACCAGCCAACCAGCCTAGGCTGGTTTAAGCTGGATTTTTCAGCAGGGAAGATTAATAATAACCCAAGATAAATTTCCAATACAAGCTAGTAGAAATTATGTGTCTTTTCTTTTTTCCAAGAGCTCTATTATTGAATTAAGAACAATGTTTCTTTCCTTCCCCATACCCCCCAAAGCTAAAAAAATGACACTTTAAAATATTCAATTATATTTATATACACATTTTCATAATTTCTTAAGACACAGATTTTATTTTGATTACAACATTTGTACATTCTGTGAAGTTGATATTGAAACAACTGCACATTTATTTTTTGACTGGTAATTTAGCAAAACCTCCTATTCATTTGAGTGGTAAAGGTTTCTCTAAAGTTGTCCTTGCAATTTTCTATAAATTATATTTTATTTGGTTTAAAAGGGGAAGATGTTAATATTTCGTGTGTATTGAAAAATGTTTTAATTTTGGAAAAATTGTTTTATTGATAAATGCAAGAGCCCTAAAACAAAACTTTTTCCAAATGGAATTTTGATAATACTGTAAATCTTTAAAGTTAAAGTTAAAATCTAAAATGTTTTATTTGTATTATTATCCTTTTGATTTGATTATTATTTTTGCTCTGCTCTGTAAATGTAGATGAAAGTTGTTAATCGAATTTTGCCTTGTTGTATTTGTGTTATAATCATCTCCCCCACAAATCCAAAAACATGTGGCATAGGTGTATTGGATGAACTAATTGACCATATGTACGTGTGTGAATAAGGGTGTATGGATGTTTCCCAGTGATAGGTTGCAGTTGGAAGGGCATCTGCTGCGTAAAACATATGCTGGATAGTCTGGCGGTTCATTCCGCTGTGGCGTCCCCAGATTAATGAAGGGACAAAGCCGAAAAGAAAATGAATGAATGCTCAGGTTATAATGCAACAAAAAAAGAATGTTCTTGTTGGTAAACAGCGCGCTCTGCCGTTTCCGTGACGCTCTACTAGTGCGAAGTGTGTGGCTGCTTTCGCCATTTCAAACGCAACATCCGGTTGTGCAGCAGCCATTTTGTCTGTTCATGCAAGTCTACCCCACACGGTCAAGAACTGACGTTCCCCCTTGGAAAACATTTCAGAAATATCAACCTCGATACATTTCTGGATCATCCATGGAAGTGCAAAAGGGCTGAAAAAATACGTCATTGAATTCTGCGCTCGAGAATACCTCTCATTGGCCGATGTGTCTTGTTTTTGTTGCGTGAGCGTCATTAATCGGGGTAATGTCGAGCGAGGAGAGTTATTTAGCCATCCAGCGCTACTTGACCGATGAACGCGAGCCGTACGCGCCGGGCACGCACGGCAACACCAAGAGGAAGATCCGAAAGGCAGCAGCCTGTTACATAGTGCGCAATGGAATCCTTTACTATCAGCGTCGGCAGAAAGGCTTGGATGAGTTCACGGAGCTGGAAGTGGTGCTGACGGCCGACAGGCGGAAGGAACTGATCACGGAGGCGCACATCACGTCCGGAGGGGAACACCTCAACCAGCAGCAGACGTGGGAAATCATCTCCCAGAAATACTGGTGGAGAGGTACGATAATCACTGCTTTAATGAGCAAGAAGCTTCCAGACTGATGCCACACTGCTCTGTGATGCTGTCTGACAGCTGGTGTCATGTTGATGTTTCTGGCACAGTCTGTCATGCTAGGTTTATAATATAAGTTGGTCAGGTAGGATGAATCAGGCAGTTTGAAAAGACGATTTGCTATTATCATAGTTATTAATACGCCAGTGAGATAGATTAACAGACATAACTTACAGGGGTAAGAGATGAAAATGTTTTTTAAGCATCCAAAAATGTCAATACAGACTTGATTTCTTCCCAGAAAGTGTTTGGTTTATTTGTGTTTTTACTGTAGAGTAGAAGTTTTTCCTGTTAAGTAGTAGAAACACGTAAAACACAAATAGTAACATTAGTTTATACATCATAATACGCTTGACTGGAATATATAGAACAATAATAATTTGATTAAATAATAAAGTACTATTTGAGGATTGCAGCGAAAAAACAAAAACAAAATGGTAATTTATTGTCTTTGTAAATGCACGATTTGCCACTTGTTACAAACTATTAAAATATATAAAAATAAAGTTTCTAAGGGCCAACATTTTTATTTTAAATATGTTAGAAATGTTATTGGTATTTTACAGAATAAAACTAGTGTTCAGTACAACATTTTTTGACAATTACAGCATTTGTATGCAAAAAATAACTAAATGTGTCATGTTTTTTTCCCCACAGACATGTTTACATACATTTTTAGACAACACAATATTTTAACTTTTAAGAATTTATTTTTTTCTTCTAATTTTAAATGACAACAAAAGAAAGCGGTTGTCATCTGACTGTCTTTGTAAAAAATCTCCAAATTACTATTTTTATTATTATTTATTTATTTACTTATTTTTAATGTGGAAGACCTTTAAAGTGAGGCAAATGTTAAAAATTGTATTAAAACTTATTCTAAATAAATGCAGAGAAACTAAAATTTCCAAGTGGTCTCTTGGTTTTCCCCTATAGCTCTATTTAATGTAAAACTATAGAAAGTCTATTATCTAGTGATCTACTACTATCATCAGTACATGTTGCATTAATCTAGTCTGCCATATCACAGGTGTGCTGAAGCAAGTGAAGGACTGCATCAAGGAATGCATTCATTGCCAAACCAAGCAGGAGAAGGGGAGAAACAATACTGAAGATGCCCCAAAGCAAACTGCCCGACAAGTTCGACAGAAGATCTCCTCTGCCTGTGCCAGTGAGGAAGAGGATGATGAAATACATGAGGATCTGGAAGAGGAGCAGTCCACTACAGTTGATAAACATGAACTGGTTTTTGTAAGTACACTATGTTATTTATGTGAGAAATTCCTTAAAATAGGGGCTTTACTTACTATAAAACACCTGGGGCCTCATGTACAAAGACTTGCGTGGAAATCATACTAAAACATTGCGTACGCACAAAGCTGTAAATGTGCGTACGCAGAAAACAATTCAGATGTATGAAACACTGCGTACGCCGAATCTCACGCATATTCTTTTGTACATCTGAATGAACGTGAGACTGAGCGCAACATGCACGAGCACAAAACCCCTCCCTGCCTCCTCCCCCGTATGAATATGCAAATGACTCTACTTTGGCAAAACCCAACGAAAAAGCAATGGCAAAATCAAGCAAAAAGAGAAACTTTGAACAGAATGTGAATTGTAGGTGCTGCTTTCAGAGGTAGACCGGAGAAAAGCGGTGTTATTTGCAAGTTTGTCTTCCGGAATTAACAACAAAAGAAAAAAATAGAGTGGGAGAGTTTAGCTGATGCGGTTAACACAGTTGGGTCTGAACGTCGCACTGAGTGAATTAAAAAAAAGAAATAGTGTGATTTATAGTTGTAAAATGTTGCAGTACCCTTAACAGTCTCAGTGGCGCAGCTCGTAAGACGCATATCAACATGTTTTGACACGTTCGAGCATGAACTCGGTTCGAATCCAGCGTCTTATGAACTCTTTCGTCTTTTTTCCCCCGCTACATATCAGATTTTGCCAACTATTTATCACCAGAAAGATAAGTAGGAATCTTTAATAAGTTTGTGCATCATATTTTATTTGCACATTTATTGAATGGAAATGTTTCTGATTTACGCATGCAAATTCTTCTTCAGATAGTGTCTTTATAGCAATGTGCGTGCAGTAGATAGCTCAGATTACATTGGGAAAACAGGCGACCGCTGCAAATTGCGCTTTAATGTTTAGCTGGTCAAATGTATGGTATGGAAACCTTATATACCTGCTAAATGAACCCGTCTCATACAGCTGCCATTGCAAGGCTCAGACGCTTTGTAGAGAGGAATTTAACACAACTGCCTCTAGGAGTCGCCAGTAGAAATAAAACAGACACGCACAAAAAATGTGCGTGCGCCAGCCATAAAGCTGCCATGAAGCTGCGCACATTCCCACGTTCAGTTCATTGTTAGTAAATCCAAACGTGAGCGATTCTGAGCGTGAAACCTGGCGTACGCAAAGTTTTTGTGCCTACGCAGCGTTGATACATGAAGCCCCTGGTGTCTCATTTATAAATGTACTTTAAAAATAATTTATTAGTTTTATTTATGAATAAAAAATCCTGTTGTACATTCACTTTTTATAAATTTTATAAATCTGATCACTCTTTATTATGTCATGTTATATAACATCTTGTTTATTAAAATTAAAATTTATATAAGTACAGTTAGGTTTTGTAACAAATACAGTTGTATATGACAACTAAATGAGATTTAAAATTCCTTTTTTTTCTTTACGGGTGATTCTAGGTGGACAGTAAGGGAATTGTCAAGCAGTTTTTACAGAAGCATGGGCAGACAATGCTGGACAAGCTTAACCTGCAGCGAATGAATAATGAGTTCTGTGACATCACACTGATCATTGAAGGCGAGGAGTATCGTGCACATAAAGCTGTCCTGGCCTCCTGCAGCGATTACTTCTATGAGCTCTTTGTGGAAAAGGGTGCTGTATCCAGTCATGAAGCTGTTGTTGACCTCTCCGGTGAGACAAATACAGAATTCTATTGATATAAATGGTAGTTTAATAAAATAATACAAAGTCAAGGTTTTAAATGTATAACATTTTAGTATGTCCAGTATAAATGTGTTTTATTTGCATGTTCAAACTCTAGTGAGCTAGGGGCCATTTGTCCCCATTGAGAAAGCAAAAACTGAAGTGCAGCCTCAAAAGTGGCAGATCAAAAACACTGTTTATAACTAGCAACAGTTCTGTCTTTACAGTTCAGTCTAATAAATTAGAAATTCTCTGTCAGAAACTTTAATGAAAGAAAAATATATTTACTGTGCTCAGCATAATTGAGTTCACCCCATTTTGAAAATGAATATTTTTATCCATTTCTCAGTAAATAAAGACAATTTATTTTTGGTGCTTTAAACAAAACAGATTTATTATTAAAATAATAGTCACCAAACATTTAGAAATTGAAAGATAATACAATTAAATTCAAGCCAAATATTGCAAAAAAAAAAAAAAAGAAATACAACCTACAAAATTTCAACAATTTATTTTTATTTTATTTTTTTTTTAATTTTTGTATCTAATATTTTTCTATAACATAAATTTGGGTTTACTCATTTTTAGTCTGTCATCATAAGTTATTTTGTTAGATAAGATCTAGATTTGGCTTTAGTACTAACTAATCTAATGTATATGCACATATGTAATATTGTTTTTCTATCAAAATATTAATTTAAATAATTTGTAAACATGTGCTGAGCACTGTACATGATTTAATTGTAAGTGCAGATTAATACTTATATAGTTTAAAATTTTGAATATTTTTTTGAATGTTTAATGTTGCACATTGTTATGGACAACAAATGATCTAATATAAATTAAATTATTAAGCTAAATAATAAAATATAATGTTGTACCCTACTTTTTAAAAACTTAAAAACTTTGCCTTTTTTGTTTATTATTGAGTTTTTTGTATTTTTCACAAAATATGAAATTGAAAAGGTGTTTTAAATGATTAAGCACTATAAATAAATGAGCACAAGAGGAGCTAGTCAGCATATTGGAATCATTTCTGAAGCAATACATGATGCAAAATTTTTAGGTTTGAGTTTCAGGGATAATAAATTATTTAGAATATATTTACATAGAAAACAGTTATTTATTTTATATTTCTTTCAAAATAATGCCTGTCGATTGTATTTTTGCTCAAATACATGTAGCCTTGGTGAGCAAAAGTGACTTCTTTTAAAAACATTAATATGTAGTACGTTAGACCAGTATGACTTTTGTCGGTAAATGTCTCTCATGTGTTTATTTTACTTAACAGGCTTCAGCAAAGCCAGTTTCCTGCCCTTGCTGGACTTTGCCTACACCTCCAATCTGACCTTCAACTTTTGCGTGATGGCAGAGGTTGCCACGCTGGCACGCCATTTATTGATGGCTGAAGTTCTTCAGATCTGTGAGTCTGTGCATAAGAAAGTGGAAGAGCAGAAGCTGATGGTCTACCAGAGAGGAGACATCCACACTGTGCTGCCCAACCAGCCTGCGTCCACTCAGCCAATCACACCCACTGCTGCTGAAACATATGTGGTGACTATGCAGAGCGACGGCACAGCTGAAGCAGGACAATCCCTGGCTGTAATCACAAGTGAAATCGGCACGGCTGAATCACTGGCATTGCTGGCTGGTGCAACTGTAGATGGAGAAACCATGACTGTAGTTACTCACAGCGGACAGGCTGGTTCAGCTGAATCTCTTGCTATGGTGGCCCATAGTGGCCAGGCAGAGGAGGGCGAGACCATGACTTTGGTCACTCACTCTGGGCAGGCAGGTTCGGGTGAGTCCCTGGCTGTTGTACAGGCCTGTTGGTCTGTGGAGGAACCACAGGTTGGTGACACTCCTGTCGTACAGAGCATGCAAACAGGAGCTTTTCTTATTAGTGTGGATCCTGGCAAAACAGGCGCTTCTGAGATTGTGCATTTAGCTGCGGCAGCGCCCCCTGCTGTGCAAGATGAGCCCCAGGCTTCTAAACCCATACACCAAACTGAGCCACCAGCAGCAGCACCACAGCCATCCCCTGCACCGCTCAAGAGGAGGCCAGGAAGACCACCTAAAGTGAAGCAACAGGAACCACCACCTCCTCTGCCATCAGAGGATGAGCCAATGGAGATGGAGGGGGTTGAGGATGACGAAAAACAAGAGGACGAATGCATAGATCCCAACAAGAGATACCTAAGGAAACGATCTGTGAGGGAAGGAGGTTATGTTCGTCTGCATATGGGACTTGAGACTGAAGAAGAGGAGAAAATCACTTCTCCTCCTGCAAAGGTTTGCACTCCCATTAACTCGGTGTATGATTAAACTGTAAATGTGGCGATGGCCCTGTCCCAAACGGTGCCCTTTATCTAGATTTGCCATATCCGTGTGGTCCACAAGACCACAGGGGGGCCCATCTGTCATTTTATGGCTTAAAAGGGTGCTCAATAGTGCCCCCCATGTGGCACCGATTCACCCTTTTGCAAAGTATGTCATGTCCTTAAGGCACTGTGAGCAAACAAGACTCATTTTAATAAGGTCAGAAGAAGTTTTTATTTACTTTTTAGTTCAAGAACTTCAATATTAAGTAGTTATTAAATACAAAATATTGGTGAAAACAGTCTTCTTTGTTTTTTAGAAAAACTGCTTTACTGCTTCGCCATGAGGTGATGAATGCAGAAACTCACACACTTGACATTATGTGAAAAGCCAGTTTACTACAAAATTATCCACACAGTATCCAAACAGTAAGGAGTGAAAATGATAAAAATGATTTGTAAAACCATGTTAAATCTAATTTCATGGTTTTATTTATAACCATCTGAAGGAAAAAAAATACTATACATAATTCAGTATGTCACACACATACACACGTTTAGCACAGTTACACCACCAGTTTCAGTTTAGCTTTATATTTGTTTTGAGTCATTATCCATTCATTGATTTTTCCTTTCGGCCTAGTCCTTTTATTAAAGGAGGTTTACACAGCGGAATGAACCGCTAACTTATCCTTTATATGTTCTATGCAGCGGATGCAACCTAGGAAACATCCTCATACACACTCATTCACACAGACTCTACGGACAATTTAGCTTACCCAATTCACCTATACCACATGTTTTTGGACTTGTGAGGGAAACCGGAGCACCCGGAGGAAACCAAAATGAGGAGAACATGCAAACTCCACACAGAAACGCCAACTGACCCAGCCGGGGCTCGAACCAGCGACCCCACTGCGCCACCATGGCATCCCGGCCCTTTTTTACTTGATTTCTGAATTAAATGATAAAATCTGAATATCACACAGTGCAGTTTTGGCCATGTGTTGTTGGCCTTTTTTGGCATTTATTTTCTTACCAAGAAATATGACAGACACTGTTATTTGTCTTTGACCCCAATATGATATTGTTGTGCAGTGAGCCAAGTATAAGTAGAGCAAGAGAAAGCACAAAGCCAGTCTGCCACATTGTCTTACTAGAATTTTCACTATTTCTCCAGATACCTCAGAAAGGCCTTGCCAAGAGAGGGCGACCAGTTCAGTCTGCGAAGAAGAATCCTGAGACAGAGTTTTCAGAGACAAACCTGGAGGCTGCTCCCAATGCAATAGTGACTTCAGCAAAGGAACCGGAGCCTGTTATTGTAGAGCAGCCCGAGACTGTGGAAGAGGGTGCTCTGCCTGGAGACCCTGAAGGAGCGGTGGAGGGAGAACATGCGTGTAATGAGTGTGGCATGGTGTTTCAAAGGAGATACACACTCATCATGCATGCTCTGAAACATGAGAAGGCTCGCATCTTCAAGTGCAGCGTACGTACCCTTGGGCTGAATAAATGTAACAACTTTAATCTGACCCTATGCTATACATTATTAGTTCACTGTCTAACTTTTATTCTTCACAGATATGCAATAAGGAGTTCCAGTACGCGGCCTCACTCCGTGCGCATTTGGCCCGTCACAAGCATCAAAAGAGCCAGAGAGCCAGTTTGACCCGAGCCATGGCCACAGAAGATTCTCAGGGCTCAGATGATCAGGCCAGATTTCGCACCAGACGAGAGTTCGTGTGCGACATCTGTGGCAAGACTATGCCCAAGCTGTACTCGTTGCGTATTCATATGTTGAACCACACGGGGGTGAGGCCGCACTCCTGCAAAGTCTGCGGGAAGAGCTTTGCCACCAAGCACAGCCTGAAGATGCACAGGGCACTGCACGACTCCCTCAAGAGGTTCCACTGCACGGTCTGTGAGAAGTCTTTCGTCACCAAAAGAAGCCTGGAGGAACATACAAGCATTCATACAGGTACACTCGCATGTCTTTTGCTTGTGTCAGACGAACAGGTGCAACACAGGCTTATTAGAAATACGTGCTTCAGCCTACATTTTTATGAAACCACAAAAACGTACCTCAACATATGTTTGACTGCAGTTTCTAGGTAACATGAATGCTATGTGGCAATATGACATGAACAATTGTTCCTTTTCACACTAATGACAGTTACATAGTCATCAAAGAGAAAAAACTGCAGTTCTTTGCACAACACCAAGTAAAAACTACAGGTAACTTAGTGTTTTTGATTTGTAATTAAATACATTTACATCACCTTTCTATCTCCAATTGGACAACTTTTCTAGTGTGGCCAGTTTTCTCAGTAGCTCACATTCTGTGGTGTTGTACTCGTGATGCAGAGAGTTTGGGTTGAACTGTGAGTCCGGTAAAAACACAGTTCCACAAAAGAGGTTAAAGCGATGTGATATCAAGGTAAAACTATATATGGTTGCAGTTTACTTTTTTTATGTTTGCTTTTTTTAAAGATTAGATTAAGCATTAGGGTTAGGATTATGTTAATGATTTGCGGGTATAGGTGATCTATACGACAAGTCCTACCTTTTCCTGGATGTTTAAAAGAAGGATGTGTATCTGAAACAAAACAAATGTACCCTAAGTAATGTTTTTTAATTCAGAAAAATGTAGGTATTGCCCTCTAGTGGATTTGCAGGGCTCAACAATAAGGACTGCCTGATGGCCCGGGGCCAGTGTGAGGGACAGTAGACAGGATCATTATTATTTGCCCAACCAGGCCAGTGCTGCCTTGTCAAAGCAGGGGTCACCAACCTTTATGAAACTGAGAGCTACTTCTTGAGTACCGATTAATGTGAAGGGCTACCAGTTTGATAAACACTTCTCAAATAACAAATTTGCAAATTTTTTTTAATTATACTTCATGTTTTTGGTAATAATTAATGATATTCATCCATGTGAAGACACTGATCATGTTAATGATTCTCACAAAAGTTATCAACAATGATTTTAACAGGGTAGGAAATACCCTGTATTTAGTTTTATATATCTCTACAAGTATTTACATTTTTAAATGATTACTTCCATATTAGATGAAGCTTATTGGTAAGTGGTGCTATGGTGAGCGTAGCTGCGTCCCAAATCGCATACTTATGCACTATTCTACGCCATTTTGTAGCATAAATAGTGTAAGTAGTGTGTTCACACTGAAAACTCTAAAAATAATAAGAGCACTTTATTTACCCGGATAATGCACTCATTCAGCTGCTAAAATGAAGTGTGTAATGATGGACACTTCACGCACTCAACGACCGCAGGTTTGCTTACGTAGCGGAAGAGGCGGAGCTATCGGACGCACATGTTGGATAACTTTATTTATTTTGGATGGTGAGAGCAAAATTCTTCTACGAGAGTGATATAGCGCCTCCCGATGGTGAATGCGGGAATTATCACGGCAGTTATTATTTGATAATTCGGTCGTTTATTTCACTGATTTGGCAACCGTCAAACATCATCAAGGAAACGGTTTGAATTTCCGCTTAGTAAAAAAACATTAGTGTGCCATTTGGGACGCCACTACATACATGTACTATCCTGTTAAGTGTGTAAGTGCATAAGTACATAGTGCATGAGTGCATAGTATATAGTGTGCCATTTGGGACGCAGCTCTAGTTTTAGAACAAGCCTGCGGGCAACACATGTGATCCTCGCAGGCTACCTGGACCATGCTGGTGACCCCTGCACTAAAGTTTAGTTTGCCTGTGACTGTTTGTCAATTGTGTGCAAATACAGTCTTAGAATCAAAAAACAATTTGTGCTTTTTAGCATTTAAATGCTACCTTCTCTGTGATGTCATAAACTCCATATTGCTTTTCGGTTCCTCTTATCTGATTGGATGTTGTGAGGATGTCATTTTTTTCATAACCTGGTGACAGCCAGTATAGCGAAGAGACGGCAACATGGCGGCAATTTCAAATTATGAGGCTAAAAGAAAACATCTGTTTCTAACGTCTTGGAAGCAGACATTTAGATGTGGATACAACATGACAAATTAATAAAGTGATGTTTCGGCGTCACCTTGACAAGGCAGCCACGTTTTGATAAATAATTAAGAAGTGCAATAAAATACATGCACATTTTCTATACTGCTCTTTTTGTGTGCATAACACTTTGAATTTAACTTATACAATTATTACAATTTTAAATATTTAAATTCTTCACTCACAGAGGTTATTTCGACACATTATATTTATAATTTGTGGATTAGAAATAGCTATTAACTTTTTTTTTTTTTTGGTGGGGCCAGTGAAAAATTTGACAGGGTAAGGGAAAATCGAACCAGTAGAAAAAATCCTTAGCATTGAACCCTGATTTGTATCTGAAACGATCAATGAAACATACCCAGAGGAATGTATTTAATGATTTGCAAATGTTTAGGCTGATGCACTTTTCCAACAAGCATGAGTTTAATAGGTGATATAAAAGCATTTTTGAAAACATTTAATGTCTTTTTAAATGATTTACAGTTTTTACATTACAGTAACAACTTGACTTAATAATAACATTCTTTTTAACCATCTTGTTAGGGTTTTCTTCCATATATACCTTGACTATGATGTAGTAAAGATTGTGTAAAAGTAAAATGCATGACTTAATGGATATCTTTGCAGAAATAGCCAAAAAGTTGACTTTTAGTTTTACTTGACAGTCAATTTAAATTCAGAATGAATAAAAGGTGAAAGACAAAACAAAGGAGGCTGTTATTAAAGAGATACTATTTCAAATATTACCCTTTTCAGATATTAAATACTCCCTACAGTGTAATATGACTATTTGTGAATGCAAAAGCTCTGCAGAGATTTAAAGATCAAAATGCATAATAATGTTATTGTTATGCATCTAATGATACTTGTGCTTTGCTAATGAAATATTTAAGGTTGCTCTAGTTAAGGATTATTTAGAAAATTTAAACTCAATTACCGACCACTCAAATTTAAGATTCCATAGACAAAGATGACTTGAGTCTGATTATTTTCCCTGCAAATATGTTTTTCCTCAGTAACAACGTGGTCATCACACTGTAATGAGGTGTGCTTAACAGTGTAGTTCATCCAACATATGGAAATTACCTCATAATTTACTCACACTCAAGCCATCCTCAGTGTATATTACTTTCTACTTTCAGATAAATACTTCTGCAGTAGTTTTAAATAAGTTTACCCATACACTGCCTGGGGTTTATCTCATGTTTAATATATATATATATATATAATATTTAAATTACAAAGTCCAATCACTGAATTCTGGTGGCTGCTGAATGTGCATACTTGATAACTTTTTGGCTGACATCTGACTCCATGTATGAAGCTTGATGTGAGATACATTTGTACATTTGTAGTTAGAATTAGAAGCTCTAAAAATTGACATGTCTTTTGGGAATCACTTACCACAGTTTATTTACTACTGTAGACGACTGCAAACAAGAACAATTAGCTTGCTGTTACTGTATAACGCTATATAATGTATATTACTTTGACAAAGCTGTGTTCCCGCAACATGCATCTATTCATGAATGTCGGTCACCCATAACTGGGCCCACACGGAATCTGCGTGCACAGAAATCCAGCAGATTTGATTTGCATTTGATTTATTTACAAAACAGTTTGTAAAGTAATATTTTCTGTCTTTTAGTAGAGATATTATATGAGCGACTTGCTTTGTTTTTCCAAATAAGTGGATCTAATTGGATTTGCATTGTAACAAGATTAAATAAAAGGTAAAAAGTTATTTTTTTATTTCATATGGTAAGTTTTTAGTTACGACACTCCCAAATCTGCATAAATCTGCAGATTTTTTACACAATTCTTAGCTGAAATTGCAAAAAATGTCCCCAGATTCTGTCTGGCCTGACCCATAGCATACATTCAGCAGAAGTCACTGATTGGAGTTTATAATTTAAAACAAAAAAATGTATATTTTTTTACTAAAACACATCAGTCTGCTTCCTAATATATGGGTTAACCCCAGTGTATGGGTTTGTTTGCTGACTGATTAATGCATTTTTGGAATCTTAAAAATAAAGCAGAGCCTGGATGAAATTTAAAATACTCTAGCTGTGTTTGTCTGAAAGAACAATAATCATATACACAGAGGTTGGCTTAAGTGTGAGTAAACTATGAGGTGGTTTTCATTTTTGGGTGAACAGTTATTTTAATGAGTAGATCATAATAGCAGTTTGTTTGACAGGGGAATCAAAGTACTTGTGCACGACGTGTGGAGCATCCTTTCATCGTGCGTCTGGACTGAGCAAACACCTCAAGAAGCATCAACCCAAACCTGAGGTCCGCTCATTCCACTGTTCTCAGTGAGTGCTTTATCCCTCGACCCACACACACAGCTGCTTTGGTGAACTCACCGATTAAACTTTTATTCACCTGTCTTCCCAGCATAATGGTTTGACACCTTTTGTTCTATCATTATAGCTGCGATAAGAGTTTCTTTGAAGCGAAAGACCTTCAGCAGCACATGAACAAGCACTTAGGCCTAAAACCCTTCCAGTGCCAGGTCTGTGGGAAATGCTACAGCTGGAAAAAAGACTGGTACTCGCATGTCAAATCGCACAGTGTTGCAGAGCCCTTCAGGTGAGAAATATTGATCATTTCTTTACACTTCTATGTATAGAGCTATATATAAGACAATTAAAATATATATATTTTTTCACACTCTTTCTGTTTTATGTGAGCTCTAGACTTTTTCGAGGTTAGACTGTGAACTGTATGGTGTGTTTTGTCCTCTTGGCAGGTGTAATGTGTGTGGGAAGGAGTTCTTTGAGAAGGCCCTGTTCAGACGGCATGTCAAGAAAGCCACACATGGAAAGAAGGGCAGAGTGAAGCAGAACTTGGAGAGAGAGTGTGAACACTGTGGGAGGAAGTTCACACAGCTCAGAGAGTACCGCCGCCACATGAATAATCACCAGGGTGAGTGGGGGATCAAGCATAATCAGATACTGTAGAGGAGGAAAAAAACATGCAAAGCAAAACTGGAAAATATAAAGGCTTTCTGTAGGTGTTAATTCACGCTTTTACAGATGAAGGTCTGGGAAGGTCTAAAATCAGAGCAGAAAGACTGGATTCTTAAAAACTCTTATGTTGAGATAATTTCATTTAAATTTAACACAAAGTCTTGTTTTCCGAGAAATTGAACAATATGGAATTTATTCTTAAAGTAATGATGACTATTGTTAATTGAGTTTTGTTGTTGATTTAATCACATTCTTTATTAGTTTTGATCAGTTTGTTATAGAACAAGAGTTCTTTTATGTATTTTTATGTTTTGATTGAAGAACCTTTTGACATTTTTGCACTTGAAAATAATATATATATATATATATATATATATATATATATATATATATATATATATATATATATATATATACATACATACATATACAGTTGAAGTCAGAATTATTAGCCCCCCTGTTTAAACTAACTACCCAAGTTATTTTATAATGATGGTTTGTTCTGTAGACTATCGAAAACAAATTTAGCTTAAAGGGGCTAATAATATTGACCTTAAAATGGGTTTCAAAAAATTTAAAATTGCTTTTATTCTAGCCAAAACAAAACAAATAAGACTTTCTCCAGAAGAAAAAAACATTATCAGACATACTGTGAAAATGTCCTTGCTCTGTTAAACATGGCTTGAGAAATGTTTAAAAGAAGAAAAAAAATTATTGGGGAGCTCATAATTCTGACTTCAACTGTATGTATCCTTACACACACATTAATATTCGCGTTCTGATCAGGAGGTAACATTCGCTCGAGTCTGAAATCGCAAGATTAAGCCTAATTCCCGGTCACGTGATCAGATCTGTACATCTCTATAAATATATGCAAGGTTTTGTTAACACTTTTAATAAATATGTGCAAATATGTTATTAAATTATAAAAAAAATATATATTTTTACTTTTTACTATATTTTCATTTAAACATAATTAGGTCAAGAGAAAAATAAATTGTTCCTTTTTGATTTGCATTGAATTGAAAGATTTGTCTAATCTGCACATCTGTATTTAGGCTGTAGGTGGCGCTGCAAGTCTCTATTTAGGCTTTTAAAACAGGAAGTTTTTAGTCATCATGAATGACAGTTAGGCTTCAGTTATTTTCCTGCTGAGTTATTCAGTATAAATTGTTGTCCTCAACATTTACACACTCAATTTTGGCAATTTTGCAATCAACTAACTATTAGTTTTTATGTCAGCTACTTAAAATGATATGAATAGCTCAGCAACACAGATGTTGTTATTGTTTTTTTTCCCTAAAGGAGTGAAGCCCTTTGAGTGTCTGACCTGTGGCGTAGCATGGGCTGATGCTCGTTCGCTGAAGCGCCATGTTCGCACTCACACAGGCGAGCGCCCCTACGTTTGCCCATTATGCCAGGAGGCTCACATAGACGCCAGAACCCTGCGCAAACACATAACCAAGTTTCACGGAGATCAACTGCCTGGCAAGATCATGTTGGAGAAGGACACTCTTCAGTTCCACAACCAAGGCACTCAGGTGGAGCACGCCGTCAGCATCTTGAGCTCCGAGCTTCCTCCTGAACTTCAGCCTCCACAGCCTCCAGCAACAGAGGAGATCGAGACCGTGCTCATCACCGAAGAGACGGTGGAGGCCGTGCAGGCCATGAACGATGGCGCCGCGGTCACCACTCTCTCTGATCAGAGCATCATGCAGGTGGTCAATTACGTCCTGGCACAGCAGGCTGCAGTTAAAGTGGAAGAGGCTCCAGAGATCATCCAGACCATGGAGGTGGAGGTGGCGCATGTGGCCGAGGTGGAATGAGACATTGCTTATTTGGTCTTATTTTGTGTCATAATGTAAAAAAGTGCTCATTTATTTTTGTTGTAAAATGTAAATTAAAATAAGCTCAAAGGGTTTTTTCTGAAAACACCCTTGCTTCAGTGTGTTTGTCTGAGTGACTCAGTGCATGATGTGGATGTGTGAATGTTTGCATTATAGTAAACTATAATGTGTACATAAACAGAATAATTTGCATTGTAATACAGTAGCAATTAAGGATACAACAGATTAACAGTTTTTTTTTTGTAATTAGCTTACATTTTCTCATTCTCAAGGCTGCTTTTTTATTTTTTTGGTTATTTGTAACACACACGTAAGCTCTAACAGTCTTGGCAAAAGGGCCATAGGCTCTTTTCTGTGGTTTAATGCGGTGCCTCTCGGTCTCAGCTGAGTACTATGTATAGCTGCAGAAATGACAACCAAATAAAAAACTCCCTGTCTACAGGGATGCACCATGTGCTATATTTTTTTCCCCGTTTTGCATTTTATGTCTTGAAGTGTGAAAATATATCTATAAACGCCTCTACCAGCATCCCAAGATTTGAGTGAGCAGCCCTTATATAAATGTGCTATGATGGTTTTAATATAGTGCTAGCTGTTAGAAAGTCTGTAGAACTGTTGTAGATATATTTAATAGCCCAAGCTTTACAGTAAAAAGCGTTGTTGTTGTTTTTATCAGCTATTGTATTAAAGTATATGATAGTAATGCACTAATATTAGCTGGAAATGTATATGTTTTACAGTAACTTATTGAAAAAATTATCATACGCGTAATTGTGTATGAAAATAACATTTTAGTAATAAGGCTATACAATTCCTTTATTAAAGCAGGCAATGACATAAAATTTAACTTACAAAAGTGATTGTATATATGTAGAAAGCATGTTAAATACAATTAAAGTATTCGTTAGTTATTAAAATGTTTCGCTAACAGTTGCAAAACTTTGTGGTTTGAAGGACAGTAGCACAGTATACAGATTGAATGAAAAAAATAAGGTGTTTTTTTTTGTATATAGCATTTGTATGTGTGTGTGTATAGTTAAAGTCAGAATTATTAGCCCCCTGTTTATTTTTCCCCCACATTTCTAAACATAATAGTTTTAATAACTCATCTATAATAACTGATTTATTTTATCGTTACCATGATTACCATAAATAATATTTGACTAGATATTTTTCAAGACACTTCTATACAGCTCAAAGTGACGTATCAGGCTTAACTAGGTTAATTAGGTAATCTAAGCTGGTTAGGGTAATTAGGCAAGTTATTATATAATGATGATTCGTTCTATAGACTAAAATATAATAAAATAAAATATATAGCTTAAAAGGGCAAATAATTTTGACCTTGAATGGATTTTTAAAAAATTAAAAACTGCTTTTATTCTAGCCAAAATAAAACAAATAAGACTTTCTCTTGAAGAAAAAAAAATATTATCAGACATACTGTGAAAATTTCCTCTGTTAAACATCATTTGGGAAATATTATAAAAAGAAAAAAAAATCAAAGGAGGGCTAATAATTCTGACTTCAACTTTGTTTATATTCTAGTATGTTTGTATATACATAGCCTACTTTCTATTTTATTTAGGACAATAACTTTAATTAAGCTTGTCTGTCAAAATAGCATTATTTCAACTTTTGTTTAGCACGTTAATTTTTAAATGTTTAAATAATTGTCCTCCTGCGTGCCTCTTCCTATTCTGAAACCAACTTCATCTCCAAAGCCTTATGAATGTTCCCACATCCTCATATAGTCATGTGCGGCAGTGGTGTCTCGTGCTCATCCAGTGTATGTGAGCGCAGATGTTGCTCATCGCGCGTGAGGTGCGGCGCCTGAGGAGCATCACACTCTTCATCATCCGCTCTCCCTATGGCGAGAAACACCCTGGCTTGGTAAAGGACATTGCTCACTCTGTTTCATGTTTTACATCATTTAAATGTCCTTCGCTGTTCTCTAAAGCTGTATATGTGGTAGGTTAGTGCTGTGAAATGTGGTGTTTCGATCATGGCACGGGGTCTGATACCGTGGATCTGGCTGAAGCGACCCGTCTATATCCAGGTAAGACGTCAAATATGCATCGCATGTAATTTGTTTGTAAACGGCACCGAGCGTTCGGCTTTAATATCAGTCTGTGTACTTGGAATAATTGGCTTGTGAGATTTGAATGGATGAAGCGGGGATGCTGTCATCCCGTTTGGACTCAGAAGTTTCTGAAGGATTCATCTCTTAAAGCTTCACTCATCCAACAAGCGTTATTACAGCGACTGAATACATCCAGTGACACATCCGCGACTCTTTTCAGCAGTGTTTGCGACCATTATACGCCGGCCTCATTGAAAAATCTTGTTAAATGACCGAAATTACGGTTTTCGCAACTGAAAAAACAACAACCGGAGCATCAGAAGCTGGTGCTGCTGCGTTTTATCAATCGGCGGGTCTCTCGTTGCTGTAGCAACACTGCTGCTGTGTATATAGGCTATAACATTTGATAGTCCTGCTGAAAACATTTCCCCTACCTGTCAACATTTAATGCACAACATAAAGTGTGAATTCTCAACTTACTGGGGCGTTGAGTTTGTGTGCATCGAAGATGTATGGCCTCCTTTTAAACATCAAAACAGTTGGCTACAGAGTATTGTCAAGCTCATAAACTATATTGATCAAAGTTTTGAGACCCCACTTCAAAGCGTTTAATTCAGGTGTGCCAATCACTTGCATGTCCACTGGTGTACAGAATCAAGCACATATGCAGACTGCTTCTACTAACATTTGTGAAAGAATGAGTCGCTTTCAGGAGCTCTGTAAACTCAAGAACCGTGTTGTACCTGTGCAATGTGCATTTGTAAAATTTCCTAACAACTAAACATTCCCTGGTCAACTGTTATTATTACTAAGTGGAAGCAATTGGAAACAACAGCTTCTTTAGCCATGATGTTTAAGTAAAATCATGAGTGCAGCACATGCTGAGGTGCACTGTGCCTCGATGTGTTTCCATGGCCAACAGCTGCAGCCAAGCCTTACATCACCAAGTGCAATGCAAAGTGTCGGATGCAGTGGTGTAAAGCACACTGCCAGAGTAGTGGAGACGTGTTCTCTGTTATGCTTCTCTGTCTGACAGTCTGGTGTATGAGTCTGAATTTGGAAATTACCATGAGAAAAGCTACTCGGTACTTGCCTGCATTGTACAAGTGTAAAGTTTGGTGGAGGGAGACTATGTGTAACCCCGCCGGTCCTACACCATCCAAACTGCCTCAAACTGGGATCGAATTGGTGACTTCCCGCATGGGAGTCGGTTGCTTTAACAAGGAGCCTTGGTCTGTTGCTTCTGTTGCTAGTGCACCTTTTGAGGTCAGAAGAGGGAGGTTTACCTGCACAGCAATTCACTAGCTGGCCTTCGTTACATATGCTTGTTTTTCAGAGGTTGTGCTTGGCCCCTTAGTTCCAGAAAAAAGAGTACTCTTAATGTCTGAGCACACCTAGACATTTTGGACAATTTCATGCCCTTATTTTTGCGGAAATGGTTTGGAGATGGCCCTTTCCAGTTCCAAGATTACTCCAGGTTCATAAAGACATGGATGAGTTTGTGATAGAGGAACTTGATTGGCCTGCAAAGAGTCCTGACCTCACTCACTCACTCCCTCCCTCACTCACTCACCACAGACGAATTAACTGCCAGTTACTCTGGCATATGTTTGTCCCAGCACCCTTCAGTGCTGGGAAACAACCCCACACTCTCCCAATTTGACTTCCACCTTATAGAACCTTTTTTAGATGAATTGGAATAAAGACTCCAAGCCAGGCCTTCTTGTCTAACATCAATGTCTAACAATAAAAACAAGCTTCTAGAAGAATGGTCAAAAATTCCCATAAACACTTCTAAAACTTGTGGAATGTCTTTCCAGAAGCTGTTATAGCTACAAAGGGTGGACCAATCCATATTAAACCCTAAGGTTGTCCTTAAAGTTTATGTGCATTTAAAGGTAACGTAAAATGTCCCAAACTTTTTGCAATATGTATTTAACCGAAGAGAATAAAAAACCTAGTTAGGCAACTATTTGCTTTTTTTAGTGACATTTACCTGTAATTGCCCAAAATAAAGCTTCTGCAACAGTGTGCTAATGATTAGATTTAATATTTTTGTATTTCTATTTTAAAATGCAAGCAAAAGTGGATGTAAAAAACACAAAATGACAAAAATAATTCGTCTCTTCTTCATAACCATTTTTGAAGTACCTGAATCATGCAAAATTCTTATTTGACATAAAAAGCACCTCAAACCTATTTCAAGAGTTCCCACTTAGATATGCTTGGCATTTATAGCAGCTTTGGCATGCTGTCCCGGGAGAGAACCCTGAGCTCGGAGATATTTGAGCCCAGGGCTCCCGCCCGGTCTAGAAGCATATCAGGAGAACCGAGATCAGGTAGGTCTCGATCGCTCCCCCTTTAGAGGGGGAGAAACAGGAGGAAATGGGGTGGAAGAGGGGATTCTTCCAAAAAGAAGATAGAGCAATAAGCAGAAAGTGATCCATTTATATTAAGCTAGGATCATTCTGATTGGATTATTACTGATTACGGATGAGTGGCCAGCGGTGCATAATCATATCACGTGCTCCTCTCGAAATTAGTTTATGTAACTTCACTAGTTTAAATCAGAGAATGTTACTGATGTACTGAATGTTAGCTGATTTTCAAAACAGGTGTCAGATAATAGATGGTACTTAAATTTTAGCTCACACTCTTTCACAATAAAGCTCCGTCTTTATTTGATTGTTCATCTCAGTCACACTGATCAGCGCTGTCAGACTGCTGAGGGTGTCATGGACTCAGTTTGAAAATTTCTTTGTAATGTTTCACAAGCAGTGTGAATAACTGATAATTACCTCAGATGGTGTTCTGTGTTGTCTGAGTAATATGTATGTTCATCTGTGGAAATCTTATTCTTAAATCAGAGGTGAAGGCTGTGGTGGATCATCTGAAAATGAGCTTAGTTGTTTTTAGTTCCTCAAAATGAAGGAAATGGCATCAGTGTTGTGGTGTGAGGGATGAGCGGTTCAGACTTGGATGGCAACCCTCCTTTAAGCATTTTGTTTATCTTCTGAAAACTGTAATCCTGTGTGCTTTCAGCAGCTTACTGAGTCTTCTCCAGTGCTGACTGTCCTCACACACAGAGTCGAGCTTACTGGCTTACAGGAGCACAGGAGAGAGTGAACATGTGAGAAACGTGCTGTTCTGTGGGCCAAATGAACCTCAGAGGCTGATATTCACATGCTTTGCATTGGAACACTATTTTAGTTAGAGGCAATGACAACAACTGCCTGTGAGTAAGACTTCATTTTGCTTTCCATTATGAATATTTTGGGGAATTTCAGCCACAGTTAAACCCTGATGCTTTCTGGGCAGATTTTATTTATTATCTGAGATCTGCTTATATGCCTGAAGGATCTGCCGTGGTGCTTTGACTTCTGTAACTGCTTCTCCTCTAAATGGATAAACTCTGAATAGGCTGCTTTATTTCATCTACATAAAGCATTCTATTTAGAGGTCATGCGCTCAGAGAATTTATTATAAAATAACAGCTTTAAGCTCTCAAACATTGTATGGAAATAATTAGAAGAGCGTGCTTCATAAAATTCACAAGGTTAGCATGATTAAATTCCTCTGGACACAATGGTTGTTGTTCAGGAGGTGAGTTTCTCACATATTTTATAAACAGAGTCCTCTCAAAGCTGCACCAATAGCCAACAGAATAAAAATATATATGATGACAGATTTTCAGATCTGCTGTTCATTAGTGTTCTCAAATGAACAGAAATGGCAGTTAGATACACACCTGAAATCTGACTGGAATGGATTTTCATGATTTTGCATGTTAAAGCAAAAACTGTAAATTAATAATTAACTGAAGTAAATGTTTTATTTGTTTTTGTTGGTTTGTTTGTTTGACTAAATCAGTGATGCCCAAAGTAGGGCCCGCAGGCCAAAGTTGGCACATTGTAACCTTTGGTTTGGCCCACCATCCCATTTGAGTAGAGAGGAAGAAGGATGGAAAAGGCTCTGGCAAATGCCTTTAGAAAAGATCGTCATTTCTAATTTGATGTAACTTTTTTTGTTTGTTAATTTTATTGGTGAGCTACAAAAAAAAAAAAAAACTGAAATAAAATGTTTCATCTAAATGTTGTAAATGAACCAGATGTTTTTCAAATCTACAGTAAATAATGCCAGTATGGATATAGGACTATGCAGAAGACATCAGTGATTACATCAAGGCAAAAACCAGTGTATCTCCATTCTGTTATAAATTATTGTTTTGGTTTTACTGTAATAAGTTCATTATAAAATATTTTTTAAAAAGCAGTATTGATCCATGTAAAGCTATGTTTTCTAGTTATTTATAAGTATTATTAAATAAATCAGGAAATTATACATGGCAACAATATTTAACTTCGTCCCTCAATCCTCAATCAAGTCTGGTTTTTGGCCCATCATAAGAAAAAGTTTGAGCACCCCTGGTCTACCCTTTGAACAAATCAATAAGAAATAACACCTTGGTATAATACAGTTATAATGAGCTTCTAACATCAAAAGTGCCCAGTGCTGTTCAAAATATTTTATATTTATATAATTACAACCTAATCTGTGTGATTTTATTTTTATTTTTAATCATGTCAATCCATATTGTGTGTTTTTGCGAGCAAGATTGTTTTATATATACTGTACATGCCAGTGCTCATGTTAATACAAATACAATGTTTGTTTTATTTGTTAAAATTACATAAAAACAGTTTATCTTAAAATATAAAGATTCTATTTTGAGTAATGTATTTGAATATTCTTGTGCTCAATCACTCGTTTAAATAATAGACGTAGACATCTAAAGCTCTTCTGTGACATGTTGCTCTTAGTTATTTAAGGTTCCTCTTTTTGCAAAAGGTTTGAAACTATAACACTGAGAGTATCAGTCATTTGGGAAAAGGGGCATTCAATAGAGAAGACTCCATAGGGAACCTCCAGACAACAAGTCCAGACAAACTTTCAGTTTTAAAAAGATAAGCAGGAAAGTAATATGAGTGGCCCAATACAAAATACCACATGGTTATACTCCTAAGCACTGTAGAGTTCCCAGTCTTTGGTCCCAATAGACTGAACATTTCTTCACTCAATTCTCACACTGCATAGGTTTCGTTAAAATGTTCATATGCCAGTATGTAACAAGTATAATCTGTTCTGGTGCAAGAGTCCATATATACTGCACTGCACTGCACTTTAATTCAATGCAAGCAGTGCTTTTGAAAAAAAAAAAAGTTGTATCAAGCAACACGGCCTGACTCAATGTGACTGAAAATCCATACACTGCTCTTTCATCCAGAAGCATTCAGGGCTATATCTAGGTATGATTCGATGAAACAAGATCTTGGAGATTTTCATAATAAAGAGTGGCTCTAGGCTCTTAGTGCATCAGAAAGATCTTACAATTCCACAGCCTTCAGAGTGCCTACTTAGATTTGTGCCCACTTTATTATTGCCTACTTTGTTTGCAAGGCTTCTGTCTTGTTTAACCTATATAAACAGTACCAAATAAAGTAATATATACACGCTCTTTCTCTGCAGCGTGAAGCTTGGTGCTCATTTCTGCCATATTTTAGTCCTGTTTAAGGATCTGTCACAGTCAGGCAACCGTGCTCCTCCATTTCGTTCCCATGAGAATAAAAAAACCAGGTCTCCTATTTACTATGAGTGTCAGGCTGACCCTCTTTGCTTCCAGTGCAGCCCAGAGGAACTGTGTCACAAATTAAATGAGGTTATATGGTAGGACACATTTAAATATTAAATATGAATATATAGCAGCATGATGGCAGTTGATGCATAATGTATTATAATACAACAAGAATTCTTGATCATTTAGACACATCACAATTCTGATTACATTTAAATACTTTGTATAGGATGCTATAAAATGAGAAATGTGTGAGCATGATATATTATAATCAACACCAAAGCTAAAACTTGTACTGATTTAACAAAACAAAAAATGTACACCACCTTGAATATGTTTTGTTAAGAGGTCTAATCAACAGAAAGTATTACATTAAGTTTTAAGTAAAAAAAAAAAACAAAAAAAAAAACACCTGTATTTGAATAAGAAATGCATAATCTTTTCATTCATAAAGATGTTAGGTGACCACACTTCTAATGAATATAAAATAACTAACAAAATAGTTTTGGTTAAATGTACCCAAATATATTGTCTAAATTCACTGAGAAATGGATGAAAATATATTTACTTTAAAAACGGTGTAATCTTATACAGTGTATACGGAAAGTATTCATAACGCTTCATTTTTTCCACATTTATTTATGTTGCAGCCTTATTCCAAAATGGATTAAATTCATTTAATTCCTCAAAATTCTACACACAATACCCCATAATGACACTGTGAAAAAAAAATATTTTTTGAAATTCGGACATGATTTGAAAAGGCATGCACCTGTCCATATAAGGTCCCAGGGTTGACAGTGCATGTCAAAGCACAAATCAAGCATAAAGACAAAGGAACTATCTGTAGACCTCCGAGGCAGGATTGTCTCAAGGCACAAGGCTGTGGGTGATTACAAAAAAGTTTCTGCTGCTTTTAAAGTTCCAATGAGCACAGTGGCCTCCATCATCCATAAGTGTAAGATGTTTTTAACCACCAGGACTCTTCCAAGACCTAGCCAGCCATCTTACTGAGTGATCTGGGGAGAAGGGCCTTAGTCAGGGAGGTGATCAATAACCCAATGGTCACTCTGTCTGAGCTCCAGCATTTTTCTGTGGGGAGAGGAGAACCTTACAGAAGGACAACCATCTCTGCAGCAATCCACCAATCAGGCCTGTATGGTAGAGTAGATGGAAGCCAATCCTTGCCTGGAATTTGCAAAAAGGCACCAGAAGGACTCTCAGACCATAAGAAACTAAATTCTCTGGTCTGATGAGATTAAAATTGAACTCTTTGGCACCACTCATGACCAGACTAATACCATTCCTACAGTGAAGCATGGTGGTGGCAGCATCATGCTGTGGGGATGTTTTTCAGCAGCAGGAACTGGAAGACTAGTCAGGATAGAGGGAATGCAGCAATGTACAGAGACGTCCTGAATGAAATCCTGTTTTAGAGTGCTCTTGATCTCAGACTGGAGTGACGGTTCATCTTCCAGCAGGACAATGACCCACAGCACACTGCCAAAATATTAATGGAGTGGCTTCACAACAACTCGGTGAATATCCCAGCCAGAGCCCAAACCTAAATCCTATTGAACATCTCTGGAGAGATCTAAAAATGGCTGCACACCGTTACTTCAACAAACTTATGTACATGTGATTTTTCTGCTTTTTTATTTTGATTAAATTTACAATAATAAAAAAAAAAAAATCACAGTGTCATTATGGGGTATTGTGTGTAGAATTATGAGGAAATAAATTAATTTAATCCATTTTGGAATAAGGCTGTAACATAAAATGTGGAAAAGGTTAAAGCTATGAATACTTTCCGAATGCACTGTATTCATATACTGTATTCATACAAACTGTTATACCAAAAAAGTGTAAGATATATTTACCCAAATCATCTATTTTCTATATTTGACATTTATATATTGAGTGTGAAATGAATGTGTGTATTTCAGTTGAAAACAAATCAGGATTTGAAAAATTAATGACTCTGCCAAGACAAATGATCGTATTCATTATATGGAAAAAACAACATAAGCAAAAGTGACGCAAGTGTTTCCATCTCATAATAGAGCAGCTGCTCTGAAATGACAGCTTGTGAAGCAGTGAACAAGATGTTGCTATGTCTAGATCATTTGTTGTTGAGTCACATTTCACAGCATAGGAGCAACCAATCATCATTCCGCGTTTATCATGTGAATCTGTGTATCGGCCTCGATCGCAGCCCTCCTGAGCTCCAGCGGTGAGCTTGATGTAAACATTTTGGACTGTTGCAGTGTTGAGTCAGTGTGTGGATGAATGTGTCCCATGGGGCGAGAGGAGTGAGAGGAGCGGGATGGGGTGCCTGATTGCTGGTTGTTCTCCTAGAGATGAGTCAAATGAGACCTGCAGTGCCTGTGTGACATCTGCTTCCATCAGAGCAGTGCCGCTTGGGAACTCATCACACTTATAATGCACCAGAGAAGCTTTTTCTTGTTCTTCATGCCACTGTTTCTTTTAGTGAAAGAATAAGCTTGTAAATGCTTTTATGTCGGTAAAGGCATTAAATCCGACTTGTTTTTTGTGGGACAAACATTTTCATTTCAACTTTCATCAGTACTTCATGAAAGTAT